TAAGAGGATAGTTTGGGGACCAGGTTGTTGCTGTTCAGAGTTTCTCTTTGGATGTCACCTGGCCCCCCACTTTGCCATTGCAGGACATTTCCACACAAATTCTTTGATTATATTAACAGTTTCTTGGTTCAAATTTATTTATTCATTTATTTTTATCTACCACTAAGAGTCATATAATCTTGATTCAAATTTATGATAATAACACATCCATTTAATGGTTATTAAAACCTGGTATCCATCTAGTTTTTAACTTTCAAATTCTTCAAAGTAATTGCAGGTAAGATCTGGTCTCCTGGGAGGAGAAGAAATGATCTTTCTCGGAGGTAAATAGTATAGGGTGCTGCAGGTTGGTTATGGCTTTAGCAAAACCACAAGCTCATTATCATTCCAAACCCAGACTGGGATCCATACTTGTTAATACATTTTGATATACTCAGAATGTAGCATAGAACAGGTATTTGAGCTCAGAGTGATAATTTAAAGTTTCTCCAATGTCCAGGCCTCAACTCAAAACCTTTAGGATGAAAGACCTGCTACAATAAGCCACCTACTCACATAGAAAGTGTGTAATTATATAGAAGATAGTATATATATCTCCAAATAGAAATACTTTCTAAAAGCTGTTTGTGCCTCTCACAGCCTTTTGTCTCTTACCCACAGAAATTTGAACCTTTAAGAATATTCCTTATAACAGATGCTGCTGCCTTGTGCATATGGACCGCCAGCCAGTACTGTCCAGAAGAGCTTTCGGCAGCTACAGGTGGCCACTAAGCTCTGGAATTGGGGCTAGGATGACCTAGGAATTGGATTAATTTTAGTTAATTTTAAAGTAACCACATGTGGCTAGTGGTTTCCATAGCAGACAGTTCTGTTCCAGGCAATTAGACTAAAAATTATTCCACCTTTATTTCTGTTTCCTAACTGGAGTTTAGAAATCTACTTGACAGCATACCTACATAGAGTACAGACACGTTTTGTCTCTAAGAATACTTACCTAAGGAAGAGGTGTGATTTTCCTTTAAACCTGGAGTTTTAAGCAGCTTGTGCTATAATCTCACAGTAACAGTCTAGTAGTGAAGTAACTGTTATATCATAATACTAGCTAGTGTAGCAGAATAATCAGGCTAACATGACCAAGAGACACTTTTATAAGGATTTTCAGGGCAAATAGTGAAAGGCAGCCACTCTTATCTTAAATGCCATATGGAAGAAGGTAAAATTAGGTAACTTGGAATTGTAGTTTCAGGAAATGTAGAAAGAAGAAAACCTTAGGTAGAGTTTGGAAGCTCAGTCATTAACCTATTCCTCTTCTTATTTTATTCCCAACAGATACTTAAAATGGTCAGATTTCTTTTGGAAGTTGATTTTCCTAAGTTGACCTTACTGTTGTGTCTTAGGCTTTTGCTTAGTGCCCAGTGATGGCATACTTGTAATTTTTAATCTTTTGGGGTATCGTACGGTAAATTCTGTTTTCTCGGATGGAAGGGAAAATCGTATGCTGTCATGGTTCGTAGTTGAAGTGTGTAAAAGATCACTTGTTGGATTTTTTTCCCTCCCTGTGATTCACTCTCAGGAAAAGGAGAAGGAATGGCAATGAAGAAGACAACCATCTTCCTCCCCAGACCAAAAGGAGTAGTAGAAACCCTGTCTTTCAAGATTCCTGGGATACAGAGGTAGGAAGTGTGGTCACATAGTTTCTTTTGTTTTCACACTGTAGCCACAGTTTTTATAATTAAAATAAGTTTATTTTATGTAAAGAATAAATTTAAGTGTTCTTCTTTGATTGCAGTGGTTTCAACCTTTTTTTCTTTTGAGTCATTGCCCTTTGGAGGAAGCTGTGCGCCCTCTCCCCTGTGGAGCAGTACATGTCTGTACACATCCACACACACACATTTATGTTAGTTGGGGGGGGACCTTCTTTGAACTCCCTGTTTTATATTTCAGAAACTCACTTGTTTTCTGATAGTTTGTAAATCATGAATTGTCCTTAGGATAAACATATTGTTGTTTCAATAAATATCTTTTAAGAAAAACTGTAAGAATGCAGGATATCTGAGGCATGTGTACACATCCCATTTTAAAGTGTTTTTACTTTTCATTATGTTTTAAATAGAGCTCCTTCAGTGGATAAGGGAGGGGGCACTCTTGAAATTTTGAATAATTTTTGGTTTCCTGAGGGCATGCTTCAGTACACACACTAAGGAGAAATTTTCTGTACAATTGGAAGGCTGCTCTGTGGGAAGGAAAGGAAGCCAGAATTAAAGTAATGCTGCTGCTATTAAATTATGCACCTGAAGACTTGGACCCTTAACAGTTGTCACACTAACAGCAACACCTCAATGACAAAGCTTCCTAAACCCCCTGGCATAAAACTCACAGAAGAATTGTTACACACCAAGAATAACTTGTACTTTAGTTAGTTCCTGATAATAGGATTCGGATTTGACCTATATCTAGTCTTTCTTTATCAGCAATCCAAAGTAACTCCCTTAAGAGGGAAAAATTAGGAGCTCTCACATAAGTAACACAAATTCAGGAACAATTAATGAACAAATACAAAGTAGATTTCTTTGTGTGGTGGCTTTAGCATTTTTTCCTCCCTTTAAAAATCTTCCTATTTTTTTTCCTTTCCTTTTTTTTTTTTTTAACGATTAACAGAAAAGTGGTTGAGCTTTTATTTAATGTGATAATTTGTGGAATCTCAAGGATGAAAGAAAAATCAAAAGGTTTTTGAATCTGAATATCTAATGATTTCCTGAGTACTGGTAAAATTGTAACAGTAATTGAATTTCCAGTATTCTTTTAAATTTATAAGACTGTTCATTAAAAGAGAGTGCCGTGATTACTTTCATGATACTGGTGCCAGTATTTCTGTGCTCGGTGTCTGTGTGAATCCTGTTCTGTCAAGTTCATATTATTTCAGAGGCAGAGTAGGTCTGCCTCTTTGTAGCAACCTTTTCTTATTTCTACAGTTTTGATGTGTGAGAACAGGAATAGAAATTATCGTCTTTATTTAAAAATTAAAATTTCTGAGCTCTTATTTTAAGTATTAATATTAGTTTTTAGTTTTAATTGTTGTTTGTAGAAAATAATCTTTACTCTTTTCCTAGAATGTATGTATCAGTATCATGGAGAAAACAGTGTTTTGGTATTCAACCTCTGGGTCGTGTCATCTTGTCCTTACTTGCCCAGAGAAGTTCAGTTGTCTAACCACTCTGTAATCATTAGTCTGAAGGATGGACTAGATTGTATTCTTTATAATTTAAGGTCATTACAGGTAGTTTCTTTCTGAACTCACTGGCACACCAGCTAATAAGTCGTCATAACCACTGGTTTCAGCCTTGCTCAGTGAACACTTACCAGAGTTGCATCTTGTGCTGTTTCCCCACTGTGGTAACAGCAGGTAACAAGGAATGAAAGAAGGGCAAGCCGGAGAAGCGAGAGGCAGGGGGATTAAAATGGACAGTTAAGTTCTGAATGATTAAATTTTCTTTTCTTTTTTTTGAGATGGAGTCTCACTATGTCACCCTGGGTAGAGTGCTGTGGCATCACAGCTCACAGCAACCTCCAACTCTTGGGCTTAAGTGATTCTCTTGCCTCAAACCCGCCAGCCCCAGTTGATGTGGCTGGCGCCCTAACCACTGAGCCATGTGCGCCAAGCCTGAATAAATAAATTTTCACTGCTGGAATAATCAAATTTAGGGGAATTTGGCTACTTTTTGACAATTGTGCATAAAAGGGAAAATAAAACAATTCATTATTAATGAGTTATTAACTTTACTAATGATTTATACAACAAATTATTTTATTGTGATGTTATTAATGACAATGTTATCTTTTAATTCTCAGAGAGGACCAATGGAGGTAAGTTTCCTTGAAACAAATCAAGTTATATAGGAGAAACCATTTCCTGTGCCTTTTCTGAAATAGCTAAATAATCTTACAATTCTTTTTCTTGTAACTTGAACTTTCATTTGTGAAGACAGAGGTTTAAAATTGTCACTTATTTGGGTGGCCAAGGTGGGAGGATCAGTTGAAGGTAAGAGTTCGGGACTAGCCTGGGCAATATAGCAAGAATTCTGAGTCAGCAAAAAAAGAAAAGAAAAAACCCTGAGCAATTAGGCAGGTATTGGGGTATACACCTAAAGTCCTAGCTACTGGGGAGGCTGAGGTGGGAGGATTGCTTGAGCCCAGGAGTTTGAGGTTACAGTGAGCTATGGGTGACAGAGCAAGTCTAGAGTGAGGAATTGAACAAATAAAATAGTTACTTCTAATTTCTCAAACGTTACCTTTTCTCCTAAATGTAATAACATTGGCCATTACTGGAAAATAAGATGGGAGGCCTTTGGTTTACATTATACCGTGCCACTAGTGAGTCACGATTACCCGTAGAATGGAGATCGCGTATGCCTCTGTTTTCATAGATACTGTGAAACTCAAGAATATAAACTGATTTGCTAGATAGTTACGTAAAGAGAAACCTTAATTTATGTGTGCCTAAATTATTCCTCCCAATTTAGTAGGTGGTATTATCGCCACTTTTCAGATGGAAAAATTGGGGCATGGAAAAAGGAAGTTATTTGGCTAAAGATACACCGCTCATAAGACCAGAGAGCCCGAGAGCGGACGCTGAGCTGCACTGCCTACCCCCGGAATGTGCTGTCTCGCAGAAGACGCTAGAAATGCGACCTATGTCCAGGAGAAGCTAGGTCCTAGGCTTCTCTGGAACCATAGGAATGGAGAATGAGTTTCTTATCTTTTAGCTAGAAAATATTTTTTCCAAGTAAATGCTGTGATAAAGTGTTAGCTAGAAAGCAATTTTAGATTTCTAAAGCAAAGAAGAAATTAGGGTCTAGTTTTGTTTTGTTTTTTTTTCTAAATTTCTAATTGGTCCTTGATTAGAGACTTAGGATTTTAACTCCAGGGACTTAGACTTAATGACCTCTGAGCCTTAAGATACTGCTTTTTAAGTGGAGGTATAATTTATTAGTCTAGGATTAAATTTTTTTCTATAAAGCCATTCTGAGTGAGTCATGTTACATAACATGTGAGGCAGGCCCAATTTTCTTTTCAGTGAGGAATAAGTGAAATGATCTATCAGTTTATGTCTTGCTATCAGCCCTAGCTGAAGGCAGCAACATTCGCTGATCTTGGGCAATTATCACACCTAGATTTAATTCAGTCAAACCTGTTTCCTTAGGGTCTGGCCTTTTAAAGATTGAATTGTATATTTGCATGATGTATGAGTGATGTTCTTAGCTTTCAGTTTTAATAGTATCTTTATCTATAAATCTCACTAAAAGTTTCTGTGTAAATCTGGCTTCTGGTTCCATGGTAGATAAGCCTCACAAAAAGTGCTTCTGTATGAGTAAAAAAAGAGATACCTTTTAAAAATTTGAAGTCCTCAATTTTTAATTTTAACTTGTATCTTTAACTTAACTTACCAAGACCATTTTGATTTTTCAGACTAGTGTGAATAACACCAAATAGAGAGTGAAAACGTGGAGATGAAACAGAAGTGGCTTACCAATACTAGCGTCAGTCTCTTTTTCATGTCTCTACTGGAAGGGGAAATTGTTAATATCAGAAACTAAAATCCCAAGGATATTCCCAGTGGGAATACATGGGTGTAACGAAAAGAAAATAGAGCCGGGGGTGTATCTTTAAAGCTAGGATTCTATAAATCTGTTTTAACTGATAGGAATTAGCTGTGTGCTCAGTGATTTTTTTTTTTAACAGAGTGAATTTATAAAATGGGAGTATTTGGAATAGTTTTTTAATGGTATTTTAAACTCTTAGTTTTTGGTCATTCTCATCTTTAATCTGGCTTAGGGTAGTGAGTATATCCTAAGAGA